CTGATTCATGTTTAAAAGCAGGTGACACGCTCCTGATTAAAACGTTCGTATTGAAAGCGGACCGCGATCAAAGTTACGTAAATAAAGAGTTTTCTTGGGAAACTGAGCTTAATAATTATAATTCCAGTACACCGTAATACAAACGTACCAGCGTGTGAATACACGTACGGTGACACGTGCACGAGTTTTTTTTAACGAACAATGGACAGACAATGAAGATATACAGCAGTGTTCTTCACACATTATCGGGGGGGGGGGCAATTTCACTTTGAAACCATTGGGGTTTGACAGCGCGATGATGATGATGGGGGGGGGGGGTGTTTTCACATTTGTGTATTGTCGAGGGCCACACAAAATGCCGCCAGTAGCTCGCGGGCCTTGCAATGAGGGCACACTGACGGATAGGGTGCGGGATAGATAGAAAAGTGCAGCCCTGTAATGGCTAGTTTATGCCATTGCTTGGCGGAAAGGGCTTCCACTATTGACAACTAAATCTAGATTGAAAACTCATTTATTTAGAACTTTTTGTGTGTGTTTAGTTTGTTGTCCTTCGATTATCACGGTGGGCTACGTACGGTGCGAAAGAAGTTCAACATGCATACGTGCACTAAAAGGAGCTCTCCAGAGACCCGATTTAGGGGGTGCTTTGGCCTACTCTACCACGCCGGGCAGACGTTTTGTAAGACGTGGGGAGTGCTACTCACACTTCACGACATCTTACGCGACCTGCTCGATCGACTAGACTGTTGCACTCATTTATACAGCTGGGGTGACATGCGTAGGGTTTAAGAAACTTGACAGGGTGCAAGTGAAGATTTTACAAACATTTTATTTTCATCATTACTTCATATATAAGTGGAACAGATGATTACTTTTCGCATATAGAGTCTATAATTGGATGCCATCGATACACTCGTGATCACATTCGTTTCATTTAACAAACAATCATTTACAGGAATACAAATTCGAGGACGAAAAAATATTTACAAGTGACTGTTGCCGAACAATTATACAGAGTTGCTACAACTGCTCGTGGTGTGACCATGGTCTCAGAAGTTGATTCAAATGATTTAACAATGACAACAACGAGGTGGCATTCAATGGGAAAGCCACGTGTTGTCAGGCTTGGACTTTGAATAGAGAGCTTGACAAGTTCTTGTTGATGCGCACACAATACATTATGCATCCGCAGTCCTTCATCAATCCACTGCTGGATAGACGCATGATGACCATAGCACGCCATTGATGTGCCCCATGGCTTAATTTCTCACGGAATATTTTTTTTTTCTTCCAGAACTCAGCCTCGGGTAATTTCCGCTGAAACGAAGCCCTGATATGCACAGACTTCATACTAAGATGCAGAAGCTCTTTGTCAACCCGTTGGAGTGGGTGGTGGAGCGCTGGGGGGGGGGGGGAGGTTGGAGACCTTCATCCATATGAAACAATCTTAGGACTAATTAAAGAGGCTCAGCCACCCGCCGTGATTGAGCCATGAAAGCCCCCCCCCCCCACCTCTGTGGCACTGCCTGTGGTGACAACAGACGCTCGATCTGATGAGATTAAGGCCCGGGGTGAAAACGAAAGTGCGTGGGTGCGGTGGCGCAGTGGTTGCTAGCTCACCGCGCCGCCAACCCGACAACTTCAGTTCGATCCTCGGCCACGTCTATCATCAAGATTGGCGAGTGACATCACCACCAACTTCATCGCAATGCTCTGTCCGGCGTGGTGAAGTATGGTAGGAAAAAAAAACCCTCCATGAACAACAACGGCGCGGGGACGTGTTCATCCAGAAGTGGACTGACAAATATACGAAATGTGAAAGGGATGTGAAGTTTCGTCACACGTGCAGTGTCAACGGAACACAGTTATTAATAACGCGCAGCGTACAAAGTTCCACGCGCAGTCGTGTGTGTTTATAGCAGAAGTGTTAGGTTTAATCATCAACAGCCTTGATCAATCCACTGCTGGATGAAGACCTTAAGCCGTCGTCATCTCTCACGATCCTGTGATGCGTAATTCTGCGTAGCAGCTGCACGCGAATCGGCTGCTCCATCTCCTCGGTGGGGGTCCTCTTGGACAGTTTGAGGCCACATAGATCACAATGTAAGGCCATTGAGAGAGTCTGATACGCAACGTGGCATCGTTATCACCAAGCAGTCGCAGCAGCAACAGAAGCAGCGTCGTGTCGGGCATATCGGCTGCAGAGTTGGAATTACCTTTTCGTCTTTTTTTTTTGCATTGTTGGTGAATGTAACGGCCTCTCGTGGTCAACCCCATGAGAAAACTTAATTTTAGACACATCGAAGATTCGTGCACTTGCGACATCGCGTGTATATCGTGATATTTAATATTAATACATAATAATAGATGCACCGTTTCACCCCTAGTCACACATAGTCGGGGGTTGTGACATGTAATTAACTGGGTCATTTACTTCGTAATGCTATTGCTACTTCGCAAACTACAGCGATAATGTGCGCACGTGTCAACATTAATACGTGCTCGCTAACAGCACTTGCTCGATTAGGCGACAGTCTACGTACTAACTGTGGAAACCCAGCATTGCCGTGTCAACTTATGAACGCTTGAAATGTGGGACGTAGTGTCTTGAAGTTGCATAACAAGGAGAAAGTTGCATAACAACGCCAATCATCGAGGCAATGTGTGTTAAGTCTGCGAGCCCTGCCATCTGAGTTCAATTTTTCCCGAATGTCAGTGGCGAGTGCTTTCGGGAACCGTCACCGTTCGTCCCATCCCCTCCACCCGCCATTCCGACATGCACAGACCCACAATGACCAGCGCGGTGAAGCACGGTCAAACAACCCCCCCATGACCGACGCGGCGTTTGGAGGCCTTCATCCAGCAGTGGATTGACAAAGGGCGTGTACATTAGATATGTATTTATTACAATAGTAATATTAAGACTCTGGACTTGAAGCTTTCGTGACTGCAAGGAATTCATATTCTTTGGTTCTTTCGGTAAAGTCACGTCGATGGGTTTATTATTTTTTATTATTTTTTTAGAACATATCTACGTGACTTTACCGAAAGACCCAAAGAATATGATATTAAGCCTGCCGAGCCCCAGGTGTAGCAGTGGGCGGAGAGCGACAGCGTGGGAGCAATCACGTGGAGGCAGGGCGCACGTGTGTGTATTCACCCATAGCTTGTATAGTCTAGTAGTATGTATTGTATACGTGAACCCATCCCCACACCGCACACCACGCCGTGCGAGCGGTGGTGCAGCGGTTAGCGCGCTGCGCTACGAACCCCGTCGATCCGGGTTTGATTCTCGCTCACGGCCAACACCGGCGACGATTATCTGAACCGGTTCTGGGCCCTCCCCTAGGTCGACTAAGCCTCAAATGAGTACCTGGTGCGGTGTGTAAACATCGTCACGGGGGAGACAAAGGCTACCGGGCGTGGTGTTGGCCACCCACCCCATCGTGTGCCGTGCCAGCCTTCATGGGTGCTCGCTAACAGCACTTGCCCCAACAGTATGTTAAGGCTATATGGGGGATCTTTGTCTGTGTGTTCACCCATCGTATATAACGTGTACGTGAACTATCCCAACGCCACGCTGTGGTAGAGAGTAACACGTGTCGTCCAATGAATGTGTAGAGTGTGCAGTGCCAGTCGAAGGGCCTTCACGAATTCGTGATCAGCATTCCGTTCGCTTCATCTAGACGAGAGAGTGCTCATGAGTATAGACTATAGCGAGCCGTCTCGAGGACATGATTATAAGAAGTCACAGACCTATCCAGGATTTACAGGAGGAATGGGGGGGGGGGGGGTCAATTGGATAAATGATAGATACAAAGTATACCGGGCGATCCATTTACAGATACCCAACTTATTATTACTAATGGCCGCATTCTCAACAGGCGTGTGAATATTGTGAACGCAGTGGCTTTGAATTGCGATGTTGGGTTTTATTTTCGTGGGGTATCTACGAATGGATCGCGCTGCATGCCACAGGCCAGTATAGGTTTAATGTATGTACAGGGTTAAACATCGTGAGACCAAGGAGACACTTGGAGCCAATTGTGTCACTGCCTGGTCTCTCTGTCTCTCTCAATGCTCGAGTCAACGTGAAACAACAATAACAATTATTAAGGGACTGCGTTGGCAGTGATGCACAAACAACAACAACAACAAACTCATCACATTAATAGTTTACACTGCCGTACAACAGAAAGAGCAGTCGTGACTCGACGTTTTGGGTGATAGCCCTTACGAACGGTATTCTCATGGCCCCACAGGAGTGTAAGGCCAGGCACTCTCCCTGGCCTTTTTATTTTCAATTCTGAAGAAGGGTCATTACCCGAAACGTCAACCTACTTTACCGTTCCATTACAGGGCAGTGCTAATGATGGATGCGGGAGATATTTTGGTTGGTGATAGGAAGTGTAATGAGGATGATGTAGGAAACAGAGGTGGGTGGGTGGGTGGGGGTTGCGTTAGGTTCAGGGTTGGCGCACGTGCACCCCGTAACCCAACGCGTTACTCTCGTGGCGAAAGTGTGTGGGGTGTGGGGGGTGGGACGCACCATGCTCGCCGACTATTAGAAGCAGAATCACTACGAAGGCATCACCCACCCCACACAGGGCCGGATTAAGGAGTGGGGGCTTTAGGGGCAGCAGCAGCAGCCCAGGAGCCTCCGCCAGCTGGAGGGCCTCCAGAGGTTGAGTGGAAAAGTTGTTTTAGTTCAAACTTGATTTGAAGCTTTCGTGACTGCAGGAATTACTAATTACTACTTCTTCCTACGTGACTTTGCCGAAAGAACCAACGTTATTTCAGTTGTGAATGCTGAATTGTATTTGTTGTTAGCCTTGTAAAATTTGAATGAAAAATGTTCTCGAACTTTGTTTTCCTTTTGAAAATATTACTGGAGGAGTGGGGGGGGAGCCTCACAGTACCTGCAGCTCAGGGTGCCTACACAATCTTAATCCGGCCCTGCAACCACCCACCCACCCCACCCACCCCACCCACCCCACCCACCCCACCCACCACGGCCGATCGAAACGCGTGGAGCGCGCTCAGCACTGCAGCTTGCGGATGCTGCGCGCTATCCGCCGGAACTCTCGCTCTCCCTTCTGCCAGCGCTTCACGGAGGTGATGACCAGTTTGCCCGCCTGGCGGCGCCCCATCACCAGGTAGGGGGCGTTGATGTCGTTCATCTCGTCGCAGGTGCACTGCAAGCCGTCCTTGAGCCACAACACAGTCCTCTTGAGCTCGCGGTCCGAGATGCCATTGAACTTGTACACGGTCTTGCTCTTCACCTCGGGCACGATCTTGGTGTCGCCGTTCATGTAGGAGATCTCTTTCACCTTCATCTTCAGCGCTGTTGCAGGGGAGGGGGAGGGGTGGTTTTGTTCCGCACACACACACACCGCACACACCACCACACACACCACAAAGACAGAGAGACCCCAGTGACGTAAGGACATTATCAGCTCAGAGGGCGGGCGGGGGGGGGTGGGCAATTGGTCAGGCGGGGCCCCAATATTTGATTAGTCTCGCGCAATCGCACCGAGGTCATACATAATAATACGAGGTTTTGTTCTTTCACGCAGTGGTTGAAAACACATCTCATGATGGTTAATCGGGGGAGGGGCGGGGGGCAACTCGCTGCTTTGGTCACCAGGTCGGCCCAAGGCACCCCCTTGCCCCCACGATAGTTACGCTGCTGCATAGACCCCCCACCGCCCCCCCCGAATGTGTGAGCTTATTTTGTGCTTGGGGACCACTGTGCACGTAGCAGCAGCATCAGCAGCAGAGATTATTTGTTGTACTTCTTGGTTCTTTCGGTAAAGTCACGTAGAATGGAAATAATAAAATAATAAAAATAAAACATAATAAAATAATTCTCACGACGTTTCGGCCACAACGCAAGCTGCCGTCCTATAATGTTTAATTTTTATTATTTTATTATTTCCATTCTACGTGACTTTACCGAAAGAACCAAGAAGATGAATCCCTGCAGTCACGAAAGCTTTAAATCGAAAATTATGTATTGTATTCAATGCACGCGTCAGATGATTCAGCAGTCGTGAGCGGCTGGCAATCGGAATGTTTGCGAGTTATAATCCTGTTTGGGAGGGGTGGGGGGGGGTGACTCAGCCAATCATCCCTCCGTGATAGGTAAAGCTAGTACAACTTTGCGGGGAGGTCAGCAGTGGTCAGCCACCCTCGTAGTAATGTGGAATTTCTACCACCGGCTCAGAGTTGTATGCAGGAGATTAACACCGCACCCACGCTAATTTGAGCAGGACATCACTTTGAATAAGCACGTGGCCGTGTACCATCGACGCACCACCCCACGTGGACGGGTGTGAACGCACACCAGCCCTGATGTCGAAACTCTGCTGGGTGATGATATCTCGACTCTCGTACGGAGCCGTGTTGGGGGGCGGTGGGTTGGTGTGGTGGGGGGATTGACCATACATCACACCGCTGGACAGTATAACAATGGACTTTGCTGCACTGCCGACAACAACCTGCGCGCCTTTCGTTCGTGCACGTGGCTGGCGCCCGGCCAGAATCTCACGCGGAATTCCATCACCGAAGTGTGCTCGCGCACGACTCGGTGGACGCCGTCGAAGCGTTACGGCGACGCAGACCATCGTGCCGTTTGGCGTGACATGAAAACGGCGTTCTGCGAAAGGGGCTCGACAGATGGACGTCAATTTGACGGAAATATCAAAACCGTTTCCGAGTTCACTCTTCCCAGAAAATTAAGGCCCCGGGGTGTCGATTGCTTTCACTCGTATGGTTAAGGTCAGCCCAAAGGTCACCGTCGCCTTAAAGAGTATCGCGTTAAACGCTGGTTATATTCTATACGAAATGTGCAATCCACCGTCGTTCATCATTGAAGCGAGTAATTCGCCTTTTGTGCTTTGTTTTAGTCTAAAGTGATGGAGGGTATAAACGTGCCGCCTTCAATTAACCAATCCAATTGAGTTAAATACAAAAACAACAACAACAGCGTTGATGTACTCAATTAAAGCCGCCCTGCTGTGTTCAATGAACCTCGTGCTCACACGCACCGATACGCACATATGGAGCAAGTCAATTATAATTTGTATGAACATGCAAATCCCCTTTTGTTGCCAATCCATTGCTGGATGAGGAGGGCCACCCCCCGTCCCCCAAACCCCACACCGTACGAATGTTGAACTTCTTTCGCACCATACGTACGGAGGGGGGGGGGGACAACAAACTAAACACAAAAAGCAGTTCTCAAGAAATGAGTAGCACGGTAGAGTGCAGGTACCCCTCGCTTTATGCGGTTGTAGTAGATGCGTTCCAAAAAACGGGCGTACAAAGGGAAACTGCACGAGGAGACAGCTGTCCCCTGAGTAGCGCATACAGTACACACACAGTACACACACAGTACACATAGTACACACACAGCACACACACAGAGCATGCACACAGAGCACACATATTACACACACACACAGTACACACACACACAGCACACACAGAGTACACAGAGTACACACATAGAGTACACACGGAGTACACACACAGTACACACACATAGTACACACACAGTATATGCACAGTACACACACAGTACACACACAGAGTACACGTAGTACACACACAGAGTACACAGAGTACACACACAGTACACACACAGTACACACAGTACACACACAGAGTACACATAGTCACATAGTACACACAGTACACACACAGTACACACACAGAGTATACACACAGAGAGTACACATAGTACACACACACAGCACACGCAGAGTATACAGAGTACACACAGAGTACACACACAGTACACACACATTGCACACATAATGGTGTCTCACGTTCGCACCGCACAGCCGCATGCAGAGCAAATTCAAACCGCACGGAGCGAATTTTGGGTCGAAATCGGTTGGCGGCAGATACGCGAAATCGCACAAACCAAACCCGCATAGCGCGAGAAACCACGTGCAAAGATTGATGTTGCTACACACTGATTTCTACTGGCCACAGCGCAGCTCTGCAATAGCCCGCTCATGCACGGCGCTCTCCCCTTCAAGTCATGTCCAGGCTCAAGCCTGCTCCGCTCCCGGGATCGGACCAACTCCGGCTGCTTTTGTCATCGGCAACAGTGTACGTGTTGTTCATTCGCTGCGGTTAAAACAGAGTTACAGCCACGATAACTGAAGTTAAAAGAGATTGTAAGACATATATAGCAACGTGGCAGACACAGTTTAACCACACACCGTACCAAGCCCAGAAATGCGCACGGTGACATCTGCTGAGCTTTAAAAACACAAAGACAAAGGTCCGCCTTATAGCTTTATATATTTTTGGGGCAAGTGTTCTTTGCGAGCACCACGCCCGACCGCCTTTGTCTCCACAGTGGCGATGTTTACACACGGGGCCAGGTACTCATTTGAGGACGAATCGACCTCGGGGAGACCCAGCACCGGTTCAGATAATCGTCACTGGTGGTGGTCGTGAGCGGGAATCGAACTATGTGGGTCGCCAGGTTCATAGCGCAGCGTCATAACCGCGACACAAAGACAAAGATCCCCCGTATAGGCTTAACCACTGCAGGGGCAAGTGCTGTTAGCGAGCACCTATGATGGCCGGTACGGCACACGAGCGGGTGGGTGGCCAGCAACACGCCGGGCCTCTTTTGTCTCCCCAGTGGCGATGTTTAAATACCGCACAAGGTACTCATTTGAGGCTGAGTTGACCTCGGGGAGACCCAGGACCGGTTCAGATAATCGTCACTGGGTGTTGGCCGTGAGCGGGAATCGAACCCGGGTCGACCGCCAGGTTCGTAGCGCAGCGTAGCGCTAACCGCGACACACGCAAGCACGCACAGGAAAATAACACAATACAATACCAAAGTCGTTTTTGCAGAAATTCTCCACGATTTCGTTGTCGTCTTCGTCCTTGAACAGACAGGGCTCGCACACTTTGGGTTCTGAAAATAGAAACGGAACAAAGTTGAAGCTGATCGACATTCTCAACCCTCCTGGTCACTCGCGAAAGCAGCCAGAGCCTAAGGCATCAGTGCGCGAGTCAGATTTTATTTAATTTGCAACAATAATAATGATGATGATTAACTACAGTCCTTTGTCAGTCCACTTCACCACGCTGTATTGCCCACAGGGATTGTTTTAACCATACTTCACCACGCTGTATTGCCCACAGGCATTGTTTTAACCATACTTCACCACGCTGTATTGCCCACAGGCATTGTTTTAACCATACTTCACCACGCTGTATTGCCCACAGGCATTGTTTTAACCATACTTCACCACGCTGTATTGCCCACAGGCATTGTTTTAACCATACTTCACCACGCTGTATTGCCCACAGGCATTGTTTTAACCATACTTCACCACGCTGTATTGCCCACAGGCATTGTTTTAACCATACTTCACCACGCTGTATTGCCCACAGGCATTGTTTTAACCATACTTCACCACGCTGTATTGCCCACAGGCATTGTTTTAACCATACTTCACCACGCTGTATTGCCCACAGGCATTGTTTTAACCATACTTCACCACGCTGTATTGCCCACAGGCATTGTTTTAACCATACTTCACCACGCTGTATTGCCCACAGGGTTTGTTTTAACCATACTTCACCACGCTGCTTAATGCGAAGAGGGGAGGGGGTTCCAGGACCACTTCAGACAGCACTCGCAACAATTGTAAGCCGTGCGTTCATACTTTGTAGCGCAATGCGCTAACCACTGCGACACCGCTCCCCCCCTCATCAGTAACTGCGCTGAACAAACTGAGGAATCCAGTCATCAGTTGAGACGTGGTTTAAGAAAAATCTCGGAATTAAATCTGTTCACGGTGACGTTTCACGACCACGAGATGGCAGAACGGGTATGGATTCTTGGATCTATCTGTGCGGAACATTGCATGTCATCACGTCGCTACGTGAGTTTTCTCCGGGTGCGCCGTTTCCCCCCCACCGCACCTTCGAATATCACGGTTGGCTACGTACGTTGCGAAATAAGTTCAACGTACATGCACACATTCATCAATGGGATTTTGCCAAACATTCCGAAAAAAAGTCTGAAGAATCAGTAAGGTCCCTCTGGATAAATCTTATTATTAATAATGTCATTATTAATAATAACTTTAATAATGTTATTACTTATGGAATTTGCTAAACATTCTATTTCAAGACCCTCGTCGAAAAGTTTCGAGACTCCATGAAACTTTCCCGGACATTCACATTTCCTTATAATAAAAAAAAAATACAATCTTATACAGCAATGGATGCAGCGTGCTCACAGATATAAAGACAAATCGCATCGACGGCTGACATTGATGTCTGGCAGTCAATCACTCGAGAATGGTGACGACGACGATGTTCTGCGGATGCTGTGGAGGCCCTCACCTTCCTTGATCACCTGCACCATCTCGTCGCCAGTGGCCGCGGGGATGCAGAGGTCATTGTCCACGGGGAATCTCTCGCAGTCCAGCATGTCTGGCCACGGGAAGCCAAACGCAGCCATGACGGGCGCGCACGAGTCGCGGACGGCCTCGCAGAGCGAGCGGCACGGCCAGATGGGATCGTCCAGTTCGTCGATGCACACGGGCGCGAACACGGAGCACAGGAACTTCTTGGTGTCCGGGTGGCAGCGCTTGGCCAGGAGCGGAACCCAGGAGCTCGCCTGCTGGAGGGCCTCGCGCATGGACTCGTGGCCGAGAAGGTTGGGCAGCCTCATCTCCGGGTAGCCCACGTCGTGGCAGAGAGCCATCGCCGGCGGGATGGCCTTGCAGTTGGGGCGACGGTAGTTGAGGTCAGACTGGTAGGACATGTGCTGCGCGTAGGGGTACATGGCATCGGCGGCGCTAAGCATGCCCGCGGCCAGCGCCACCAAGGCGAGCTCCACGTAGCGCAACATGTCTGTGCTGCGTTGCGGGTGCGAGAGATGAACCCTTATCGATGTAAACTCGGCGGAGAGAGGAACAGCTAAAATTGAAGCCGCGCGTAAGGGCTGGAATGTTAGCGCTTAGCAATGCGACTCGTGAGAGAGAGAGATGAAAATAAGTGACGAGTTCAGATCAATTCGTAATAAAAGCGATGACTAAAATCAACGGTCTGATCAAATTGTATGACAGCTTTACCGATGTAAACGTTAATAATAATAATGATAGAGAAAATTCTATGGGATCATTAAGAATTGGAGCAGGCTAGGCGGCTGAGCGAGTGGCCGTTTGAATTTGCTCGGCTCCGGACGCCTCCTCCTCTGCCTCTGCTCGCGAGCTGCAACTGCGCGCTCGGTGTGAGCGCTCCGGGGCTGCGTAAGCGCTCAAAGTGAAATCGCACACCCACTCTCCCCCTACTCCATTGGTCACCATCGGCTGCCCGCGTCATCGCTAAATCACCGCACGCAAGAGCTCACGATCGTTGGTCCGCTGCCTGTCGTGGAGCATCGTGGGGTGCGTGCGTGCGAGACGGCATCGCAATTATCATAATTATAAACGGGATCTCAATTTTAAGTTTAAATATATAATGAAGGACTGGTGCCCGCGAAGCAAGTCCACCGAGGGGATTGGGCGATGAAATCAGTTCGTGTCGTGCGGCTGCTTGGTGGATTTTTACAGCATCGCATGGTCGTGAGAGGTGGCGTCAGCTCGGGCGAGACCTTTATCCAGCAGTGGATTGGCCACGGTTGATTGCCGTGCAAACCCAACGCTTCTGCTCTAAACCACCGCAATACCATCTGGTAATCCAACAGCATTCCTTTAACAACCACGAGTGCTGATGAGACCCAGATTGTCAAAACCGGTCGAGAGGTTGTGCGCTGGAATACTCGGCGATATTGGCTTGGAATTCCAATCGGCTGATGGACTAAAATGATCGTTGTCTAGAACGTGGAGAGACGGAATCAAGTTCTGCTTATGTTTGCTTTGATCTCAAAACACTCTCATCCTTTTCACTAATCGCGAATTCACGTGGAACGGACTTTACAAGTTGAGCATAAGTACCCGCCTTGACCACGACTCGGCGATGCGCACGGGCTGGAGTGAGTGTGTGTGTGTGTGCGGCAGCGAATTAAAATTTAAAGTAATAAGCCATCGTTATCAGTGCGGCATTCCCTTTGTGCGATTCACTTCAATATCCACGTCGTTCCACAAAGCGATGCTAAGACGTGGGTGCGGTGGCGCAATGATCAGCGCGTGCGACGGGATGTGCCAGAGAAGGCACGTGGATGTTCTTGGCTAACCCGCGTGCGTGCGCGCACTGCCGGCATGAATACTTAATAGGTGCTCGCTAACAAGCAGGGCATGCTCCAATAGCCCAACATACTAGGGGGGGGGGAGTTGGTTTTGTACATAATTGCAATAGCCTCTAATCCGGTATTAAAGATTGGAGACACAAAGGCATTGCGATAAAGATGGGGGGGGGGCATATTTGATACGACAGTATTAAGAATTTGCGGTGGCAGAATGGTTAACGTACTGAACTAAGAACTTGAAGTTCGATGCCGGGCCACGGCTACTATCAACGGCGAGTGATTTTTTCACCGGGTTCAAAGCGCAAATTCGCTAGCCGGTGCGCGCCAGCCTCCATCCCGCGAGGCATTTAAAATGCGGCCAACCAGTCGTTTCTCTGCAGGGCGCGCAAAGGCCACTTAAACAACTCACGAGACGGCGCGGACGTTATTTATCTTTGTGAGACGCAGACGAGCGGTCGCGATTTAACGGGAGTGGAGGATTGAGTGCGTCGCCTGTAAATGTGCGTCGGCGTTGCATGGGCGCTTGAAAGGCGGAGCCGACTGCGGGTACAGTCGCTCCTGGTTTAACAACATGAACTTTCCGCCTGCATGGCTTTAACAGCTCCAGCTACTCGTAAAACGCGCTCCCTGCGTTCTACGCTTCAAGTTGCAGAACGTGGGATTCCTCCTCTTCACGGTGCCTATTAGGAGAGCATTGCCTAGCAGGAGGACATTGTCTAGCAGGAGGGCATTGCCTAGTAGGAGGGCATTGCCTAGTAGGAGGGCATTGCCTAGCAAGAGGGCATTGCCTAGTAGGAGGGCATTGCCTAGCAGGAGGGCATTGCCTAGTAGAAGGGCATTGCCTAGCAGGAGGGCATTGCCTAGTAGGAGGGCATTGCCTAGCAGGAGGGCATTGCCTAGTGGGAGAGCATTGCCTAGCAGGAGGGCATTGCCTAGTAGAAGGGCATTGCCTAGTAGGAGGGCATTGCCTAGTAGGAGGGCATTGCCTAGCAAGAGGGCATTGCCTAGTAGGAGGGCATTGCCTAGCAGGAGGGCATTGCCTAGTAGAAGGGCATTGCCTAGCAGGAGGGCATTGCCTAGTAGGAGGGCATTGCCTAGCAGGAGGGCATTGCCTAGTGGGAGGGCATTGCCTAGCAGGAGGGCATTGCCTAGTAGGAGGGTATTGTCTAGCAGGAGGGCATTGCCTAGTAGGAGGGCATTGCCTAGTAGGAGGGCATTGCCTAGCAGGAGGGCATTGCCTATTAGGAGAGCATTGCCTAGCAGGAGGACATTGTCTAGCAGGAGGGCATTGCCTAGTAGGAGGGCATTGCCTAGTAGGAGGGCATTGCCTAGCAGGAGGGCATTGCCTAGTAGGAGGGCATTGCCTAGCAGGAGGGCATTGCCTAGTAGGAGGGCATTGTCTAGTAGGAGGGCATTGCCTAGCAGGAGGGCATTGCCTAGTAGGAGGGCATTGCCTAGTAGGAGGGCATTGCCTAGCAGGAGGGCATTGCCTAGTGGGAGGGCATTGCCTAGCAGGAGGGCATTGCCTAGTAGAAGGGTATTGTCTAGCAGGAGGGCATTGCCTAGCAGGAGGGCATTGCCTAGTAGAAGGGTATTGTCTAGCAGGAGGGCATTGCCTAGTAGGAGGGCATTGCCTAGTAGGAGGGCATTGCCTAGCAGGAGGGCATTGCCTATTAGGAGAGCATTGCCTAGCAGGAGGACATTGTCTAGCAGGAGGGCATTGCCTAGTAGGAGGGCATTGCCTAGTAGGAGGGCATTGCCTAGCAGGAGGGCATTGCCTAGTAGGAGGGCATTGCCTAGCAGGAGGGCATTGCCTAGTAGGAGGGCATTGTCTAGTAGGAGGGCATTGCCTAGCAGGAGGGCATTGCCTTGCAGGAAGGCGTTGCCTAGTAGGAGGGCATTGCCTAGCAGGAGGGCATTGCCTTGCAGGAAGGCGTTGCCTAGTAGGAGGGCGTTGCCTAGCAGGAGGGCATTGCCTAGTAGGAGGGCGTTGCCTAGCAGGAGGGCATTGCCTAGCAGGAGGGCATTGCCTAGTGGGAGGTGAGGGCCTCCACAGCAATTATTTAAACTGAATCCAGTTGCTGAAGACGTGTCAAGCTAGGGAAGCGAAACGTCGAACTTCGGGCCGAACAACACGCGGTACAATCCGAAAGTTAAACAGCACAACCGTGACAACATATGCAGCTACTTTCTTTAAAACTGCTTGGTGTGCTTAGCGTGTTGTTCTTCCCCCGCACCTCCGATTAGCGTGGTTGGCCTCGTACGGTGCGAAAGAAGTCCAACATACATACATACAGTACCTAAGTCACATGTAATTTCAGTACGACATTTCAGCACATGCGCCAACCCACAGCTAAATTTCACATCCCAATTAAATGTCAATCTGAGTCTAAATTACACGAGACACAGTTAATTGCTAAAATGTCCATCCACGTGATAAGCCACTTCGTTGAGCTCGTGGTGGGTGGCCAGGTCGCGTCCAAACAACAGCTGTACAGCCCAGTGGGCCTCACCTGGTACGATTAAAATAGTAAGAGTAACCCTACGTGCCGTTCTTAGCTGTTGCCCGACGGCTCATTGAGTAAGACTTTAACTCTGCATGGCCACCAGTGTTGTAGCGTGGCCGGCGCGAGCCCTGGTGCAAGGCATGAAATGGGCCCCTCGGTGCCCAACGGCCCCGGGTGCAGTTGCACCGCCTGCACATTCTCACGCCACACCACCGGCGATCAACTCATTGTCATGCCCCGCTATATATCCGATGATTTTAGCGTCAGACTCCGCGGGAGGCGAATTACTCGGTGCACTGATAATTATGGTTTGCTGTACGGCTTGTAAGTGCCACGCACGAGGCCCGAAGTGAACGTGGATCTTTAGGCTGACCTGGTGGCCCTGTGAGTGGAAATCAACATCCGCTCTGTAATATATGTGGGCGACAAATATTTTTTCGTTACATATGTTTGTTCTTGTATTTTTATAGTTACTAATGCGTACAGTACAGACTCGGTTTCATTTGCGCCAAATGTTAGCTTTCTCAGCCCTTAAAGAAACATCTTGAGAATGGCACACACACACATACACACACAAAACCCCGTAACACGTGGGAATGTGCCGTGATTTGTACCAGCATGGCACGAAAGTGACCTTGCATCTGGCGCACCGACATGTAATTGGGAAATTACGTCTGTAGAGGGTGAATTCGATGAGTGTTGTCGCGCAAAAATAAAGTTGCATCGTAACGCGAATGAGGCCTGCGCTGGGAACCTCCTTTCGCCAGTCATGAGTGTCGATTGACAGACGTGTGTGATATGTCGCCCCTCTTGAGCAGCAGTAGGAGTACACGCAAAGACGGAGTATCCCCCGTGTAGCCTTTGCCAGACTAATGGGGCAACTGCTGTTAGCGAGCACCTATGAAGTGCCGGCAATGGGACGGAGGTGGTGTGGCACTGAACCACGCCCAACCGCCTTTGTATCCCCCGTGCGGATGTTATACACATCGCACCAACAACTGGATTCAGTCGTTTAGCTCGAGGTCGGTTCTGGTGTTAGCCGTGGCTGGCAATAAAACGTCGGTCTCCGTGTTGGTGGCTAAGTGCGTTAACCGCTGCCCCACCGCTCATTACCGTCGTAGCAACAACAGTGCCATTTACATTCCGCAGAGGGCACTGCAGAAAGAACCCCCCCCCCCCCCATATTGTACTAGACTATGCTCCTCTTCCTTCACCAACCCGCACTGACCAGCGTGGTGAAGTATGGCTAAATGATCAACTAAGCCCCACGACCTGCAATCTTGCGTGTGTGTGTGTGGGGGGCTTTTCCTGGTGGATTGACAGAAAAAGCGGAGGGGGGGGGGTCGAGAGGGAGGGAGCGTGCAAATACGCACGGTATGTGCGTGCGTGCGTGTGTGCATACATCGGCACAATGCTGAAAGCGATGCGCGTGTTTAAACTGGGCGGATAGTGTGTGCGAGCTTTGAAACAAAACACAAAAAAATGCGACACGCGGGCGGATTGGACGAAGTCTCGTGAATTAAGAGCGCTCTTTGCGCGGGGTCTATGGAAACA